TGTCCTCTCCACTGCTCGTGTAAACATTCCACCCTCCCACGCGCAACTTGGTCGCAAGACCTCTTAAAACACCGACGCCGACGACGACAGCGACAACGACGACGACGGCGCCGCCGACATCGACTACGACGACACCGACGACGTCTCCAACGACTTCGACGACGACGACAACGACGACGACGACACCGACGACGACGACCACAACGACGCCGACGACGACGACGATGACAACGCCGACGACGACGACGCCGACGACGACGACGCCGACGCCGACGACGGCGAAGACAACGACGACGACGACAACGACGCCACCAACGAAGACGACGACGACGAGGGAGGAGGGAGAACGACGACGGCGACAACGACGACAACGACGAGGGAGGAGGGAGGACGGCGACGACGCGAACGACGAAGGAGGAGGGAGAACGGCGACGCCGACGACGACAACGACGAGGGAGGAGGGAAGACGACGACGACGACGGCGACGAAATAGGAGGGTCGACGACGAGACGCCGACGACGGACAACGACGTCGAGGGAAGAGGAATCGACGACCACGGCGATATTGACGACGGAACGACGACGACGCTAAAACGACGACGACGAGGAAAGACAGCGAACGACGACGCCGACGACGGAGGAGGGAGGACGGCGACGACGACGACGACGCAAGAGCGCGCGCGCACGCTTTTGTTGAAAATGCGTGTTGCGACATCTTGTGTTTTTGTAGGTTTTTTGGACACACGATGTTGAAATCCTTCCGAAGCCGATGGGTTTTGAAGGATGTCGGCATACGCGCGCGACGACGCGCGCGTCTGCACTTCGTCCCATTTCTTGCAGAGGATTCTCGCGACGGCACACGCGCAAAGGCGTTCGACAGATTTCGACATGCGCGCGCGCGAAGCCCGTTTGGTAGCATGTTGTGAAAATCTTGAAACACCGGTTTTCTTAAGACTTCGCAAGAGCTCGCGCGTAAGCCTTTTTTAGCACATCAGTGTTGCGAAACCCTGTGTGTTTGTATGTTTTTTTGGAAACTCGATTGCGACATCCTTCCGACACCGGAGGTTTTTGAAGGATTTCGGCATGCGCGCGACGACGCGCGCGTGTGCACTTCGTCATTTTTTTGCAAGGGATTCGTGAACAAGTCTTATGTGAGAACAAAAGATGTCCCCGCGTATCGTTTTTTACAAGGGAACCTCAGGGGGGTCGATACCGACCCCCCTGGGATAATGTAAATTCATATTTAGGACGGACCTGTGGTCAAAATCATATATGATTTACATACCTGAAAAGGGAACGGATAACGCCGGGGGGGGTATTCTCTTTTAAGAAAGGAGAATTAATTCCTGTTCGCAATGAGTTGTCCACTCCACTGCTCGCGCAAACATCCCACACACCCACCCGCAACTTGTTTTGCAAAATCTCTTGAGACCGTGACGGTGGGTACCAAATGGCACTTGGCAACGACAGCGACGCCGACGACGACAGCGACAACGACGACGACGACGCCGCCGACACCGACTACGACGATACCGACGACGTCTCCAACGACTTCGACGACGCCGACAACGACGACGACGACGACGACACCGACGACGACGACGACGCCGACGCCGACGCCGACGACGACGATGACAACGACGACGACGACGACGACGCCGACGACGACGACAACGACGACACCGACGACGGCGACGACGTCGACGACGCCGACGACGACGACGACGACGGCGACGACAACGACGACGCCGACGTCGACGACGACGAAGACGACAACGACGCCGACGCCGACGCCGACGACGAAAACGATGACGACGTCGCCAACAAAGACGACGACGAGGGAGGAGGGAGGACGACGACGGCGACAACGACGACAACGACGACAACGACGAGGGAGAAGGGAGGACGGCAACGACGCGAACGACGAAGAAGGAGGAAGGACAGCGACGCCGACGACGACAACGACGACACCGACGACGGCGACGACGTCAACGACGCCGACGACGACGACGACGGCGACGACAACGACGACGCCGACGTCGACGACGACGAAAACGACGACGACGACGCCGACGCCGACGACGAAAACGACGATGACGTCGCCAACAAAGACGACGACGAGGGAGGAGGGAGGACGACGACGGCGACAACGACGACAACGGCGACAACGACGAGGGAGAAGGGAGGACGGCGACGACGCGAACAACGAAGAAGGAGGAAGGACAGCGACGCCGACGACGACAACGACGAGGGAGGAGGGAAGACGACGACGACAACGACGACGACGACGACGGCGCCGAAATAGGAGGGACGACGACGAGACGCCGACGACGGACGACGACGACGACGAGGGAGGAGGGGGAAGGACGACCGCGGCGACAACGACGACGGAAACGACCACAACGCCAAAGAGGACGACGACGACGAACACGAGGAAAGACAGGAGGACGACGTAGGCGACGACGACGACGCCGACGCGGGAGGAGGGAGGACGGCGACGACGACGACGACGACGCAAGAGCGCGCGCGCACGCTTTTGTTGAAAATGCGTGTTGCGAAATCTTGTGCTTTTGTAGGTTTTTTGGGCACAGGATGTTGAAATCCTTCCGAAGCCGATGGGTTTTGAAGGATGTCGGCATACGCGCGCGACGACGCGCGCGTCTGCACTTCGCCCCATTTCTTGCAGAGGATTCTCGCGACGGCACACGCGCAAAGGCGTTCGACAGATTTCGACATGCGCGCGCGCGAAGCTCGTTTGGTAGTATTCTGTGAGAATCTTGAAAAATCAATGCTTTGCTTATGACTTCGCAAGAGCTCGCGCGTAAGCTTTTTTAGCGCATCAGTGTTGCGAAACCCTGTGTGTTTGTATGTGTTTTTTTGGAAGCTCGATTGCGACATCCTTCCGACACCGAAGGTTTTTGAAGGATTTCGGCATGTGCGCGCGACGACGCGCGCGTGTGCACTTTGTCAATTTTTTTGCAAGGGATTCGTGAACAAGTCCTATGTTCGAGCAAAAGATTTCCCGCGTATAGTTTTTTGTTTTGAATATGTAAAACATTTATTGTTATTTTATTTTCTGTTTAACAAGGGAACCTCAGGGGGGTCGATACCGGCCCCCCTGGGATAGTGTAGATTCAAGTAAATTCAAATTTCGGATGGACATGTGGTCAGAAACGTATATGATTTACATACCCAAAATGGGAACGGATAACGCCGGGGGGGGGTAGAGTCTATTCTCTTTTTAGAAAGGAGAATCCATATGGTTCGATCTATGCGGTGCAGTATATGTCGTGCGAGCTATGTGGTGCGTGCAGTCTACGTGGTGCAAGCTGCCATGTTTGTTGTGCAAGCTACGCGGTGCAATGAATTTTGAAGAACCTGGGGTTGTCAACTCCACTATTCGCGCAGTCATCCCGCCCACCCGCCCGCACTGTGGTTTGCAAAACCCTCGCGGCGGCGATTGCGATCATTGCTTGGTGTTGGCTGGTGCATCTCTGCGGCCGCGCTGGCCCGCGTATGCCCGCGCGTGCTCGCGCGCACAACGGCCAGCTAGTTTGGCGCGGCCGACGCGGCCGCGGTTGTGCTGACCGCTGTGCACTTCCCAACGGGCACTCCAGTGTGAGTCGGTGACGTGGGCGGCCACAATACCATGGCGACGTCCACAACAGTGGGCACGATGATGATAGTGGCGATGATGGTGACGATGATAGAGATGACGACGGCAAGGCCAAGGCGGCGCCGATGCTGATCACGCCGATGACGATAACGGTGTCCCCGCGTCGGCAATGAAGGTTTTTTTTCAAGGGTTCGACATGCGCGCTCGGTCGACGCGCGCGAGTGGCCCGCATTGTGTTATTGTGTTATTTGATAAGGATTGCCCCCCCAGCACGCGCGCAAAGGCGTTCGAATTATTCAGACATGCGGCGCGAGAGGCCCAATTTTTTCAAATGTGATGAACATGTTGAAACAGCTATGGCTTTCTCTAGGGTTCGCAAAGACGCGCGCGGACCTTTTTTGAACACTGATGTTGCAACACGATGTGTCTTTAGATCTGATTTCGGGAATTTCGATATTGAAATCCTTCCTGGACCGAAGGTTTTGAAGGATGTTGGCGTGCGCGCGCGACCACGCGCGCGTGTGCACTTCGTCCCACTTTTGTTGTAAAGGGGTTCTTGCGACAACATGCGCGCAGAAGCGTTCGAACGATTTTGACATGCGCGCGCGAGAAGTATGTGTGGTAGAATTTGATGCATCTGTCGAAATCAAAACAATGGCATTCGTAAGGATGCGCATGAGCGCGAACGCAGGCTTTTTTTTGACAGCTCATCTTGCGTAACAATTGGGTTTTAATGTGTTTTCGGGGCGCTCGATTTTGAATTTCTTGCGAGGACTCGGGTTTTTGAAGGATTTCGGCATGCGCGCACGACGACACGCGCGTGTGCACTTCGTCCAGTTTTTTGCAAGGGATTCTTGCAAACTGGCGATGTTTGATGAACGAAGGTGCGCGCTTAGTATTTTCCACGGGATGAATCGGGGACGCATAAGGACTGCTGGGGATGGTCTGAAATCATATTTAGGCTGGACGATGAAGTAAATTGCAATACAAAGCGACATACCGTTAAGTCCAGGGCGGGTGGTGGTGGTGGTATACCCCAGCACCTTTTTAAAACAGGGGAATCGATGTTGTAAAATCTGGGGCGGCGGCGGGGCATCGACGGGCCGGCGACGGCGGCCACATAGCCGCCAGACCAACGACACTGGCCAAACGACGGGCGGCGGCGAGGCGGCGACTCGGCGGTGACGGCGGCCACATAGCCGCCAGACCGAAGACACGACCCAGTCCCGTAGAACAGGAGCAAGAACCCCTAAGTGCAATCACTATTTGGGAATCTGCCTGTTCCTTCGAGTCTCGCGTGGTCTACCCCTACCTGATCGGATGGGCTGGGGGGCTGAAGTGCCATGGCCCAGCGAGGATGGGGATACGTTGGACGATGCCGAGACCTGCGAGTCCTCGTCGAGAACCGAGATCCGCAGCGAGCGCCCGTCCGTCAACATTTTCACGAGGAACGTGGTCTGGCCGGAGGCGGCGCCAGCCCCCTCGACGTCGAGGACCATCTTCCCGCTCAGCACCAGTCTGCTTGTGCCGTCGGCACGGCCAGGTGCTCGCCTCGCCGACGACTCTGGCAGCGGTGCGCTCCTGGCGCTCATCGTGCCTCCCTGGTCAATCCCGTCCAGCCGCGTCAGCTCCGCTGTCCTGCCTCCGCGTGCAGAGCGCAGCACCAGCGGGTACTCCGCGCTATTCTTCAAGTACGCAAGGTTTCGGCGGTTCAATCCCTCCCACTCGACGTGGTTGTAGACGGGCTGCGCCTGCTGGATCCGCTTCAGAATCATCTGGTTCTCTTTTGTGATGCGCAGGAGTTCCTTCTTGCGTGCGTTACTGTTGAGGCTGCGGGGGGGCACCGCTGACAGGCTTCGCGGTTCGCGAGGCGTCGTAGGCCCACTATTGGACAGCGGTTGCTTCATGATGTTGGCCATCTTTTGCAGCAAGATGCGATTCTCGCGGTCGATTTCTGTGTACCGTTCCTCTTGCATCTGCTCTTTCTTAAGATTGCCATGCACGTGCGTCAACCGGAGAGTCCTGGGCAACGATGTGTCAACACTCGGTTTTATTTTGCGCAGCCTGTGGACGTGCGATTCCAACCTACGCTCCTGATCCCGCTGAGCGCAAATCTTGCTGCTGCAAGGGAGGCCACGGTCCATGGATCCCCCGTGGTAGGTAGAACTACTGATGTGTCAGTGGTTGGCGAGCCAACGCTAAGCCATCCCCTGGCCTGTTTGACCCTGGGCCAGCCTAGCTTGAAGCGAAATGACTGCGGAGATCCTGTGAGAAATAGGGAGAGCCATAGAGAGATCGAGGAATATAGCGACCTCCCCATCTGTAGCCCCACCGGCGGCGTAGGTAGTTCATATCGTTTTCTCTTCCATTCGTCTTCTTCTTCTTCTTCTTCCTCGAGGAGCAGTCTGCCGCTCGCCGCATGCTCACGCCAGTAGACTTCCCCCCTCGCCTCGCCCTGCGTGAAGAGGGTGTGGACAAAATCTCTCCGGATAGACTCGTTGCCTCTTGGTGGCTCTCGGTGAACTCCCAGAACCTTTCTTGGACCTCTCGGGGGGCCTCCTGGGCCTCAAGGATTATGTTGTTCCCCCATCGTACTGAAGGACCACATCCCAAAAATAAATTCGAGCACCCAGAACATTGGCCTGGCGAAGAACCCAAACATATGCAGTTGTTAGCACCGTCGTTGTATGCACCGCATTCGGAGGAGCTCCCTGTAGGGCCACGAAACGTGTGAAGTGTGTGTGTGCCAAACTTTGTCTGGTGGGCGCATGCGAAAGTAGCCACTGGGGCCGTCGGTGGAATTCCCAATGGGGCCACGAAGCGCATGAGAATTGTGCCGAAATAGGTGCGGTGGGCGCATGCGAACGCAGCCATTGGAGCCGTCGGTGGAGCTCCCTATGGTGCCGTGAAGCGTGTGGGTGTGCCGAAATGGGAACGGTGGACGCACTGGCGCCTTCGGTGGAGCTCCCTGTGGGGCCACGAAACGTGTGAGCGGTGTGCCGGAATGGGCGTGGATGACGCATGCGGGCGGTGGCACTGGGGCCTTCGGAGGAGCTCCATGTGGGGCCACGGAACGTGTGAGGGGTGTGCCGACATGGGTGTGCGTGACGCATGCGGGTGTGGCGAGCTGGGTGTGCGTGACCCATGCGGGCGGTGGCACTCGGGCCTTCGGTGGAGCTCCCTATGGGGCCACGTGGCGTGTGAGAAGTGTGCCGAAATGGGTGTGGGTGACGCATGCGGGCGGTGGCACTGGAACCCTCGGTGGAGCTCCCTGTGGGGCCACGAAACGAGTGAGGGGTGTGCCGAAATGGATGTGCATGACGCATGCGGGCGGTGGCACTGAGGCCTTCGGTGGACCTCCTTGTGGGGCCACGAAACGTGTGAGGGGTGTGCCGGAATGGATGTGCGTGACGTATGCGGGGTGTAGCAATGGGGCCTTTGCCGAAAATGTGTGTGCGTGACGCATGCGGGCGGTGGCACTTGGGGGGCCTTCGGTGGAGCTCCCTGTGGGGCCACGAAACGTGTGAGGGGTGTGCCGAAATGGGTGTGCGTGACGCATGTGGGTGGTGGTACTGGGGCCTTCAGTGGACCTCTCTGTGGTGCTACGAAACGTATGATGGGTGTGCCGAAATGGGAGCGATGGGCGCATGCGAACGCAGCCACTGGCGCCTTCGGTGGAGCTCCCTGTGTGGCCACGAGACATGTGAGGGGTGTGCCGAAAAATGTGTGCGTGACGCATGCGGGCGGTGGCACTTGGGCCTTCGGTGGAGCTCCCTGTGGGGCCACGACGCGTGTGAGGGGTGTACCGAAATGGGTGTGCGTGACGCATGTGGGCGGTGGCACTGGGGCCGTCGATGGAGCTCCCTGTGGGGCCACGAAACGCGTGAGGGGTGTGCCGGAATGGCTGTGCGTGACGCATGCGGGCGGTAGCAGTGGGGCCTTCGGTGGTGCTCCTTGAGGGGCCACGAAGCGCCGTAGGAGGGGGAGGGGGAGCAGGGAGGAGGAAGGAAGGAATGTGGGAAGGAGGGATGGAGGGAACGCGGGGGCCGTCTTTTCGAAACGAACACCCAACGCCACAGGATGGTTGGGAAATATCGATCAGTGTCGAACGAGTATCGCCTCCCAGGGCCCGACACGCGAAAACCCTCCAGTTTCGGTACTTTCGTCGAAATTGTTTCTGGTGGTCGAGGCTACGGCAGGTTGGAACATCAGAGAGGACTCGGGGGCCTCTTGGGGCTCTCGTGGCTTCTTGGGGTTTCGGGCGGCCCCTTCGGCCTGTTTCGGCGCCCATCTGTTCGCCACTTACACGGTCTTGAGACACTCTGGGGGTCCCCTTGGGGCTCTAGTATCAGGTCGGGCATGTCCTCCTACCAGTGGATTTTGGACGACAAGCAAGAGGTACGTGTGCCATGGCTCTTGCACAAAAAAGGAAGGGGGAGGGTCGGAGGGGTGTGCCATGCCGAAATAAAAGGGGCCGGGGCGGAAGGCCGCGCTGGCTTGTGAGTGGGTGGGTGGGGGCGTAATAAAGTGGTCGCGGCGGAGGGCGCGCTGGCTGGTGGGTGGGGGCGATGCGGAGGGGGCGCGCGGGGAGGGAGTGGGGGCCGTGCCGAAATAAAGGGGTCGCGGGGCGGAGGGGGCGCGCTGGCTGGTAAGTGGGGGGATGCGTGTGTGTGTGTGTGTGTGTGTGTGTGTGTGCCGTGCCGAAACAAAAAAAGGTCGGGCGGAGGGGCGCGCTGGCTGGTGGGTGGGGGGATGCGGAGGGGGTGTGCCGTGCCGAAAAAAAGGGGTCGGGGCGGAGGGGTGTGCCGTGCCGAAATAAAGGGGTCGGGACGGAGGGGCGCGCTGGCTGGTGGGTGGGGGGGGCGGGGAGGGGTGTGCCGTGCCGAAATAACAAGGGTCGGGGCGGAGGGGGCGCGCGGGGGGTGTTGGGGTGGGTGGGGGGCGTGGCGTGCTTAAATAAAGCGGTCGGGGCGGAGGGGGTGCGCTGGCTGCTGGGTGGGGGGATGCAAGGAGGGTGCCGTGCCGAAATACAAGGGTCGGGGCGGGGGGGCGCGCTGGCTGGTGGGTGGGGGGATGCGGAAGGGTTTTGCCGTGCCGAAAGAAAGGGGTCGCGGGGCGGAGGGGTGTGCCGTGCCGAAATAAACGGATCGAGGCGGAGGGGCGCGCTGGCTGGCGGGTGGGGGGGGATGCGGGGTGGGGTGTGCCGTACCGAACTGGAGGGGTCGGGGCGGAGGGGTGTGCCGTGCCGAGATAAAGGGGCCGGGTTTCCCCCGGCAGATGGACCGGCCCGACTTAACGGTAGCCATGTCACGAATCTGTGTCCCGCTTGAGAGCTGTGGTTTTGCGAGGTGTGCGGCTCCTTCTTCAGTGAGCGAGCCAGCGAGCTTCACAGAGTGTGTGTGTGTTTAGAGAGAGAGAGAGAGAGAGAGAGAGAGAGAGCGACCGAAGCTTATGGACTAAGGCACTTAGCAAAGCTGAGAAGACCAGCCGTCAAGGGTCCGAGCGGTCCCCCCCAGGTGCAAGGCTAACTTCCCCTGAGTGAGCGGACATTCCCACTCCCATTCCCTCCTTGCTCAACACTGCTCGGCCTTCTGCAGCTGCCGCCGCTCGCTGCCTTCTCGCACCAGCAGCGGTCCAGACGCTAGGTAGGCTGCGCCAGAACCCCTTCTTCCGGGGCGGGGGTGCACGTGGCGATGGCTGCGGCAGGCTACCCGGCTCGAGCGCCCCTCTCTTAATTTGAAGAGAGCGCCAGCCAGGTTGGGAGGCAGGGGCCGGGAGGAACGAGGGCACGAACAGCAGCATCCGGGTGCAGGGAACGATACCTCTGGCCGCCTACGGGTAATGATATCTTCATGTCTCACAGCACCGTCCTCCCAACCCGATAACTGTGCTTCTGACTCTTGACTTTCTCCCTCTCCTTCTCCTGGCAAGCCAGGCGCCAACCTGCAGAAGCGTGCCCCCAGGGGTGCTGTGCAGGGCGAGGTCTCTCTCGCCTGCCCCTGGGTCGGGCCGCGGTTTGTGCTCCTGGCCCCATCTCGGGCAAAATCAGCGCGTGCTCCTGCACCGCGGTATCTTGTAAGTACAGTCAACCCGCAGAGGAAGGATGCGCGATAAGGATGCAAGGCCCTTGGACGCCCATTTCGAAGCGTTCCGAGCGGGGCGCGGACAACGAAAGTGTCCAAGGATGGACCCACGAAGCAAGGATGCAAGGGTACCCTTGGGAGGGATGCCTATCCTTACTCTGCGATTTCACCAATATTATGCACATTGAGAAGGCGCACTGCTGGCATCATTATTTTGCACTCCTCTTCCATGCAAGTCGATCTGAGGGTCACGGAAACGTGGGCAATTCGGCGACCCCTTGGGGCTTCCTCGGCGTGTGTCATGATTGCCGCTCCCAAGCCCTCCCTTGGAGCCCGGTCCAGTTGGCTTGGAGGTGGGGGGGTGGAGGGGTCCAGGGGATTTCTCCAGCGGACTCGTTTAGGCCGTGGCGGACTCATCTGGCCCTGAAAAGCTTGAAGGCGCGCACAAGTCGTCCAAGACAGCTTCAGGACAGTCTACACATGCTCAAGGACGGCCTAAGATACGTCCAACGAAGCCCCAAATGACGGCTAAAGAGAGACCAAGGAGGACCTCCAAGTTGGCGCCAAGATGACGCCACTGATTATCCTTCGGCTTTTGATATGTTTGGCATCATCGCCTTTTCGATATTCAGGGTGTCTGGGACAATGCAAAAGGCCCACAATGTTGCCCCACGACGGCCCAAAAGGATCTCAAGGAAGACCTCAAACGGCACAACAGGGCTCCATTATCCCACCAGCCCTTTGGGCGACAGGTGGTCTAAGGGTGATCTCGTTTTTCTTCCCCAACCCCTCTTCCCTTCGGGGAGGGGAACCCTCCCGTCCCCTCCCTGTTTTTTTGGGGGGGAGGGTAAACGATGTGTCAGAGGGTCCTTTTTTCGGCCACTGGGAGGGCCAGTTTTTGACACCTCTCACGAGGATCGTGGCCCCCGAGGGGGGGGGGAGGGCAGACATCGAAAACCCCCTTCTTTTGACCGACCGCCTTCAAGATGGTACCAAGAGGCCCTCCAGGGCTCCCAAGAGGCCCCCAAGAGAGCTCCAAGAGCGCCCCAAGAAGCCCCAAT